CGGTGTGTGGGCCCTGCCCGCTCCGCTCCAGCAGAGGGCCCAGGGGACCGGGCCCTGCCTGCCCGGGCCAGGACAGAGCAGACGGCCGCAGGCGCTGGTGCGCACCACGGACCCAGCGCCTCCTGAACGGCCCACCTCCCAGCTGGATCGTCGTGACCGAGCAGAGGGGCGGCTATCCCACCTCCGCTCTGCCCCTCAGACCCCATCCGTGGACCATGAGCCCGGCAAGGGCCAGATCTCTGCTTAGCAGCCGTCTAGACGGCCAGGGCCACAGCAAGCTGCCCTGAACCCGGCCATGTCCTTGGTCATACAGACCACCCCTCCCCGGGCAGGTGGCAGGGCCTGTCCCATGCCCCCCACCAGCAACCCAGCAATGAGGGAACCACTGGCCGGCACTGGGGCCCCGAGACAGACTCGGAAGCACCCTGAGCTCTGGTCCGGCTGCCTGCCCTTCTGGACATCGCCAGGCCTCCTGCTCCCTGAGCACCCCTAAAGCTAGGACGTACATTGACCATAGAGATCGGCTCAACTAGAAATCTAAAGCTTTCAGTAATTAAACATTTCCACAGAAACAACAAAAAAGTCCATCTGATATGGCCCAAGAGGCAGCAGGGAAGTGCACTTACAGCAAAGGCTTCCGAAGTTGCCTTCTGCTACCCAGAGCTGCACCTCTCAGCCCACCGGGCCCTGCTTCCCTCCCCGCAGCGCCAGCCCCAGCCTCGTCCCCAGGGAGGGGGACCAGCCTGGTGAGAACTCCTCCAGCCAGGACACCCACCCAAGTAACTTTCTCCTGCACCGATCCTGCAGGACTCTGCCCCGTGGTACTCTTGTCCTGATCTGCCAGGGACACCAAACACTGAACAATCAGACGTGCACCAGGGATGGTGTTCAGAAGGGGGGGGCCTCCCGGAGGCAGACGTGCAGCTTCAGAGGAGAAGGGACAGCCGAGGCCCCACCGTGTCTGCTGGCTCCCACCTGGCTCTGTAAGCAGACCCTGCCCCGGACAGGCACGCAGGGCCAGTGCTTAAGGGACGAGGGCTTCCGTTCAGGAGGAGTTCCAGACGCACACGGAGGGGATGGCTGCACGATACTGAGGGTGTGCTTAATGCCACTGAACCGGACACTTAAACGTGGTTAAGACGGTGAATTTTCTTACATGAATTTTACCAAAACAAAAAGGCCAACAGCCCCTGAAATCAGCGAAGGGCCTCAGAAACCAGAACCAGAGGGGCAGGGCTGGCCCGAGCCTGGCCAGGGGAGCCAGGAGGTGTGGGGGGCTGGGCCAAGCAGGAGGGAAGGAATCTCGAGGCTCAGCTGCCAGAAGCAGGAAATCAGAGATGCACAGTCAGGGGCAGGGGCAGAGGGCGTGGGAGGCACTTTGGAATGGACTGCACGGCTCGCAGCCCCAGTGCCAGGCACTGCCCCCACTCTGGGAGGGTCGCCGGGCACCACAGGCCCACCCCCTCCCCCGTCATCTGTCCATCAGACACACAGCTGACAGCCCGGTGCGAGGCCCTAGCTCAGCTCCAGTGACACAGAAGAGAGTTAGAGAAAGTGTGGTCTGACCTGGGACACGAGCACCTCCGCCCACTTGGATGAGGAAACTGAGGCCACAGGGTGGCCGCCCGCCCACCGGAGCCAGGCTGTGAGAGGGTCTCCCTGACTCCACCCTGCAGGCAGTGCTGCCAGGAAGCTGGCAGTGGTCAGGCGGGCAGGGCCCGGACAGCAGCCCAGGGGATGTGAGCCTGAAAGCGGGGCCACTGGCCTCTAGTCCCCGCAGGGCAGTCTTGGGGGTGGGGTGACAGAGCAACTGGGGTGCATCTCCAGCCTGCCCTGCCCATCCCCTGGCATTAGGGCCTGGGGATGGAGCAAGAGGCCAGCCAGCAGAGGAAGAGTTGCTGGGCCCACAGGGGCACCAGGAGCAGAGGCAGACTGGCCTTGATGGGGAGGCCGGGGTGACTTCTGGGATCCCCATTATTCAGGGGAGAAAACAAGTTTTCAAGGGGTTTCATGGTGGGACAGCCTGGACTTAGGTCCAGACTCCTGGCCCCACAGCAGGGCTTTTGGAACAGGCCTCGGGGCTGCTGGTCTCAGTGCCATGAATGTGGCCTGTGACTGCAAGCCAAGGAGGCCCAGGGTATCAGAGCAGGCTGCCTGGAGGCGGCATTGTTCTGGCCTTGAAGGCCGACTGAGACTCAGAGAAGGCCAGAGGAGGGTGGGTCAGCCCCAGGCTCCAGCACAGAAGGAAGAAACTCAGCTGGGCAGGAAGTGGGGACCAAAGAAGGGGGACAGGGCCTGCTCTGACAGGCACCCCCACCTCCCCCATCAGAGCTGCCGTGGCTGGTGACCTCATGGGGGAAACATGCCTTTTCCTGAGCCAGAAACAATAGGATGGGGGTGAGGGCAGAGGGAAAGCTAGCGTGCTGCGCAGCAAAGGGCTCCTGCAGGCCTGGCTGGACGTCCCGCCCTGGCATGCGGGCAGGGCCTGCAGGGTTGGGGGTGTCAGACGCCCAAGACCATGGACAGGGGTGGACACTCCACAGCACGGCTGTTGCTACCCTGGGCACCTGCGATGCAGGGGTGCTGCTGTGGCCGCTACTCTGCAGGTGAGGCAGCCGAGTCCCAGAGACCGGGGCTGGTACCCCAGAAATGGTGTGGGTCTGGGCGGCCCAGGGGGCAGAAGGCGGGGTCAAGGGTGGGAGGGTGAGAGCCCAGAGCCCAGGGGCTGCTGTAGCTCCCACAGCCACTTCCTCCTCTCCCCTCTGTGCCCCTGCTCGGGTGAGTCCCGTGGGCCTGGCCGGCTGCTGGGTCACAGGGAGAAGGGGGAGAAGGGCCATGGGCTGAGCAGTCAGGAAGTGCTTCTGGGAGGGGGCGGTGCTGTGGCCTAGTCCGTGCCAGGGACCGGGGGCCAGGAAACTTGCCACAGCCTCAGTCTCGGGGAGATGGGGCCTCCCTGCGCCTCTGTTTCTCCCCCGAGGGAGCTGTTGCCGTGGAGACGGTGCCCAGTACCGCGAACCAACCTGCAGGACATGCAGCGCAGACGCCACCTGCCACGTGACAATTCCTCTGGTACAAAACTCAAGCGAGAACAGACACAGTGCGTGTGGACGCTAAAAAGGCCCGACAGACGTACACCAAGCAGAGTCAGGGCAGGAGGGCCCCCGGCCACTGCTGTGAGGTCTCCTTTCTCACAAGGAGAAGGTTCTCACGCATCACAGGGCTGTTAACAAGTGAACCGACCGCGAGGTAAGCTGCGGGGTGCACAGACGGCGTCGGGTTGCCGGGCCCAGGCTTCCCCTTTACAGAAGGGCCGGAGGCTGGGAAGGATGTGAGTCATCTGGGTCCCCAGGACACATGGCAGCTCGGAACCAGACCCAGGGTCTCTGACCCGGCGGGCACCCCAGGCCTGCCCTACCACCAGCTGCGTGAAGCTCCTCTGGGCAGGCCAGGGGCAAGAGGCTCAGGGTCCCCAGGGGAAAGCTGCCAGGCCAGGGCGGCTGCCAGGGCAGGGGTCCCATCTGAGCTCTGACCGCCCGACCCCAGTGGCTGCATCTCCGGCCAGCTTGTTCGCTCTGCCTTATTTGGCTTGGAGGAGAAACCTATAAACACTTCCCTGTTTGCTGCTGCCAGCGCGCGGGTGGGGTGCGCAGAGGAGGAAGAGGCGAGACAGTCGTGGCAGCGGGGCAGCCCAGCGGCACTCACCGTCCCCCGCTGTCCATCCGTCCCAGGGGGCCACACCTGCCATGCCCCCCGAGGCAGGGTACAGAGACCGGACCCAGACCCAGAGGTGATCAGGGTTAGATGAGACACGCTTTCTGGAAGAGGAAGGCTGGGGAGGCCGGCCGAGGGCACAGGGGGAGCTGGTCCACCCTGCACGGCCCCCACCCTCTGGGGACAAGAGCTGCGGTTGGGGCCAGCAGGGCAGTGCGGCCTGGCACCCTGGGGCCCTGAGCCCGTAGAAGGTGGGCGGGAGCTGAGGGGCCGCAGCCCGCCCAGAACCCCCCACAGCCTCAGGCACCAGGCCCACCAGCCGGCCTCCGCTCGATCACTGCCACCTGCCCTCACCTGCGTGTGGCACATGCCCCAGACCTTGCCCCAGACCCTGTCCCAGCCGCAGCACCACTGCCCCAGGCACCCGCTCTGGGGAGGGGGTCCCCTCACTGGACAGACACTGGACAGCCCGCAGGGGGTCGTGGTGGGCCTGCTCCTGCCCAGCACTAAGGGCAGAGGAGGGTGAGGGCGCAGGAAGGAACAGCTGGTCCCCGGCCCTCCTGGGCCAGCACAGACTACGTGGCATGGAGAGGGCACCGCAGTCCGAAAGCGCTCTAATCCTCAGCGACCTTCAAAGGCACCCCTTCCTTCTGCAGGAGAGAGACTGAGGTCGTGGGAGAACGGAGGCCAGAGACAAGGACGTAGGCTCCTGGGAGACACGGGATGGAGCGCGGAGCCCCACGGGTAGGAGGGGCCAAGGGACACCGTGTTACCTACTTGGACCCTGGCCAAGAAGCCCAGGGCACCACGGTGCTGGCAGAGAGCCTAATTAGCACGGTGTCCAGGTTTAATCGGCATGGTGTCCAGGAAACCTGGCTTGACAACTCACCTGACCTACATAGGGCGGGGCCCCTCCCTGCAGTGCTAGCTCCGTGAGGCTACGGTGACTGCCCAGGGCCAAGGGGGCCTGGCGGCTGCCATGAACAGGACACCAGGAAAAGGGACTGAACCACAGCCCAGCATCTCCCAAGGTGCGCCAGCATTGCCCGGGAAAGTCCCACATGAGCCCAGGCTGGCACCCCTGGGCCCGTTTCAGATGGGGGAGACGGCTCCCCAAGGTGACCAGCAGATGAAGCACAGGGGGCTCGAACACCTCAGCCCAAGCTCTCAACCAGCACTGCCCATGCGGGGGGAGCCCGGGCCGGGGGAGCCCAGACGAGGGGAGCCCCGGCCAGGGGTCCGGGGTCAGGGTGGGGATGCTCAGACAGCTGCTCCCAGGGGTCAGGCGCTGATCTCTTGGTCCCCCACTGCAGGCAGACAGAGGGGTGCCGGGGTGCTTCTGCACTTCTCCCCTCCAGGCTGCTCAGACCCCTCCCCCAGTGCACAGCCTTCACCGAAGACCCTCAGCGTTGCTGGAACCCCCTTCCCAGGCTGTCAGCCAGCCCCTCCCCCAGAGCCAGGCCTGGGGCTCCCCTAGAAAAGAGCACCTCTCCCCACCCCACAGCCCTTTGTTTGCAGCTGGACTGTTCGTTGTGGCCTCTGTCTCCCCACCCCTCAAGGATCAGGGCTCCCGCCCCCACCACGCCCTCCTCAGTGGAGAGGGCTGGATTCCAGGCCAGGGGCAGGCCCACATTCCACAGGGAGGGACCTGCACAGAGACACCCCCACCCCCCAGCAGGAGGAGACCTCCCTCAAACCTGCAGGGTTGGTCCCGGCTGGCAGGTGAGGGGGCTGGCAGGTGAGGGGTAGTTACGGACACGCCCCCACCTACCCTGTCTGGGATGTGGTCTGACAAGGGGACCCCTCCGCAGGTCACCTAGAGCTCAGGGCCTGGCTGAGACACAGGCCACAGCCAGGGTTGCTTGGAGGGCCAGGTGACAGCCTGTGTCCCCAAGGCCAGTGCCCAGCACAGGGAGCCCTCCTGCCACATGGACGCCTCTTCACAGAGGTCAGTCCTGTGCAGGCCCTCCTCCTGGATCCCTGCCACCAACACTGCCCAGGGACGGGCGGGACACCCTCCAGCCTCACGGAAAGGGGCTCCCAGCTGAGCGGCACCCCTAGACCACAAGGGGCAGGCCCCACTGTGCGTGACTGGCACCAGGACACACAGGGCCTCCCTGCACCCTGGTGGGCACTGCCACGGCCTGACCCCGGGCTCTGTGCCATTTTTCACATGGGGAACCTGAGGCACGGTGGGCCCAGCTGGGGTGCCCATGTGCATCTCAGGGCCTCCCAACAGCCTCACTGCCCCGTTGGAGACAGCCCTGACCAGTTCCTCCGCACACCAGCCCCACTCAGCTGGGTCCCACCTGCTCTTCCCTGGACCCTGCCCCCTAGCTCACCAACTCCACCCCGAGGAGCACCTCACACCCAGGGGACAGACAGACAGCCCTCAACAACCAGAGTGTCCACAGATGGCCTGTCTGGGGATGTGGTGACAGGACAGTAGTGGGCGGGGGGGACGACAAGTTACCATTCCCACGTTCCCAGTGCAGCCGGGGAGCTGGCACCGACATCCTTGCTGGGGACACAGCCACTGCAGGCACAGCTGTCTCAGGCAGGAGGGGCCCTGCTGGCCATCCAAGTACAGGGGGTCCTCTGTGAAGGGGGCAGCGGGAGGCAGGGGAGGCCCGAGGCTGGCCAGAGTGGCCCTCTGTCTCTCATCCAGAAAGTGGACACCGCAGCTCCAGCCCTGTCCCCCCGGCCTGGGTTACCGTGAGGACCCATGTCAGACATGTGAGGGGCTTCTGCCCGTGGGGGTTCTCTCGAGCGTGAGGGGCAGGTGTGGCTCAGAAAGCAGAGGCCACTTAACCCTGAAGGGGCTGTGACACCCTGACCCCCGTCATGCGGAGCAGTGCAGGGAGCCTGACCCTGGGTGGACAGCGCACTCCAGAAGCCTCTTCCAGAGTGAATGGGGCTAAGCTCTGGGTAAACAAGGACGCTTGTGACCTGGGGCCACTCCCACTCCTGCCCCGAATTCCAGGCTCGTTGACCTGACTGGGCTCCAGAGGCGGCCCCCATCCCACAGTGTGGGGGTTCCGAGAAGTGACCCATCCCTGCCCTGGGAATGATGGGGTGACGAGGCTGTGCTGCACAGGGACCCTTGTGAGCCAGGACACAGGCCTTGTCCCTACACTGCCCCCTGGCTCTCAGGCTGAGAGCCTCCCTCACTCAGAACCCCCCAGGCTGACCACCACACGAGGGCCTCCTCACCCTCAACACGGCCCCACCTGGAGCCACTCAGGCCCCGTGGCTCTACTGCAGAGGACACAGCGAGGGTCCACACCTGCCACAGGCCCCACATCACACACACAAGGGCCGGCCAGGTGCGTGTCAGGCGTGGTCATAAGCCCCGGATGCCAGGAGGAGCAGGGAGCCCGGTCTGCCCTCAGTCCCCACGGTCTGAGGATTATGTGGGAAGCACTAAAAGGATCACAGGGAGAGTCTGGACACAAAACAGGAGGCGGGGGGCTGGCAGGGCGGGCGCCGCTCGCACGGTCCTGACCTGGCCGCCCCCTGAGGTCCCACAGGCAACATCCAGTGCAAAGGTCCTGCGGCGACAGCGGGCCGGGGCCGGGGTAAGACTCACTGTGACACAGGGCCCAGGCCCCCTGCACAGACTGGACCCTCCCAGAGCCCTCCGGCCGGCAGCCCACCTCCCCCTGAGAGTTCTTAATTGTGACAAGACACAGCTAACCCACCCTGCAGAGCCGTGGCCCTCCCAGTGGGGCTCCAGGCCAAGCCATCGGCATCGCCTGCAGAAGCCAGGCTCCGCAGGCCTGCAGGGGCAGGCCCTGTGGGATGGCACACCCGGGCAGGCGTGACTGCAGACGGGCGGCTACCTGGGGGCCTGGAAGGAAACAGGTGCGTAGGTTTCCCAATCTATAAGCAGCAGCGAGATGACTGCTCGTGGGACCCCCTGCCACACCTGGCCTGAAGCATGGCATCCGGCCCAACAGCGTGACCCGGGGGCCCCCGGAAGGACAGTGACCTGCCTTCCCCACACCCTGTTTCTCCCCCAAGTGGAGGCAGCGTCCACTTCAAGGCAGGCCCAGAGCAGCCGGGTCCGAACAGCTCCTGGGCAGCTCGGTGCCTTCTGGGAGCCACCCCTTGGGCGACGGCCACCTCGTCAAATGCGGGCGTCTGCCCCGGCAGACCCGTGCCTGAGTCTGTGCCCCAGCTCTGGGCCCAGGACATGAGGTTGGGGTGCTGAGTCAGACCCCCTCCCAGTGACTCAGCCAGCCCACAGCACCCCAAGTCCCTTGGCCTGTCTGGTCTGGCTTGTGCAATGGCCCAGAGCCTGGTCGCAGCCCGCCCCCTCTCCAGGGCCCTTCCTGGCACCTGGAGAGGAATGCCGCCTGGCCACCCTGGGCTGGCAGGCGGGGACGGGGTCACTGGCTGGAGGGAGGCAGCCTGCCCATGAGAGGGAGAGGCCATGAGCCCTTCAGGGCCCCGCCCCCGCCAGGGCTGCAGGAGCTGGGGGGGCAGGGCACCCCGCCCGGTGCTAGGGAGGCTGCCGCCACCTCTGCGTGGTGGCAGGAGACCGTGTCAGGTCCTGCTCAGCCTGCTCTGCGCCTCGGTTCCCCTTTGGAGAGAGGGGACATCCACAGGCCCTGGTCCCATGACACAGTACTGTTCCCAGACAGCGCCCCAAAAACATGCGACTGAGTGAGTGCCCGGCAGAGCTGGGGAGAGGACGGAACCTGGCAGGTATCTTCATTCTGGACGAGGGTGCAGAGGTGAGGGGACTGCCTGACAGTGTGGAGGTGTGACCGGAGACGTCACACCCAGCCTTGTTTTCTTCGAGTGGCAGGCGGGCTGGGCGCCTCTGTAACGGGCCTTCAGGCCGGGTGTGGCAGTTAATTCTGAGTCTCCAGCTGCTGTGAGGGTGAGGGCACCGAGACACAGATCGGCGCACTGGGGACAGCAGACACCCTCCCTAACGTGTGGCCAATCAGAGCAAAGCCTGGTGGCAGAGCCTCAGGCCCCTAAGGAGGAAGGAATTCTTCAGCGTCCTTTGGAATTTGGAGTCAGGGTTGCAACATCGCGTCTTGCCTGAATTTCCAGCCTGCCGGGCTCCCCGCAAACTTCAGACTTGACCCACAATTGTGTGAGCCAGCTCCTTCCTTCTCTCTCCTCCTCGTGTGTACGTGTATCTGCATCTTACTTGAAACACCACACCTTCCCGTCTACGTGCAACTGGCTCTGCTTCTCTAGAGGACGCTGGCCACTGCACAGGCTTTCAAGTTACCGCACTGAGAACAGCAGGCTGACCTGGCCGTCTCTGAGGTCCAGGGGACCACAGGGCTGGGATGGACAGGGTGTCGGGGGCCCCCCGTGGGCTTGGGAAGTTCAACCAGCTCACAGAGACCAAGGGAAAAATCAACACTGTCGGCTCCTAATGACCAGCCTGGGCGGGTAGCTCAGCCCCACCCCCAGGACACCAGCCCCTGGAACGGGATGCAGCCCACGGGGCTCTGAGCAGCCACCCCCGCGGGGAGGACGCCAGTGGTCTCCCCAGCCTTGAACCCTGGCTCCAAAGGGCGGGGAGCAGGCTGCAGTCTCCCCTCAGCAGGAAAGGCTCCTGACCGGCTGGTGGAACGTTCACTTTCTTTCCTCCCTTTTCAGGAGTTTTTCGGATGCTGAGAGACTCAGAAATAGGAAACCAGCAGGTCTCACTCCTCCCGGGAACGGGGTCAGCTCCCACCCGGCTCTCGGGCAGCGCACGTCTCACCAGGTGGAGCGGCGCCCACCAGGCCCAGGGGGTCCTCCACTAGCCCCCCGCCCCCTCCCCTCCCCGGAAGGCAGCACGCGTGAACTGTGGAATATCCTTCCAGCAGAGAGCTACTCGTGTGCCCTGGAATTCCACGTGGGGTCACTTCCAGGGGGGCATCAGGGCCTGTGGCCGTGCTCTGTTGGGTCCGGAAATAACAAAAGTGGCCTTGACGGGCACTGGCCTTCCTGGGCCCGGCCCGTGCCTGCCAGCCAGGTGCCCCCGGCCTGGGCTCCCGGGGGCCCACCCCGGCCACACCCAACTCCAGGAGCCCAGAACCCAGAGGCCCCCACGCCCCCGCCAGCTTGTCCAACACAGGCTTGAGCGGATCTGGGAGCTTGTTCCCCTTTTAAATCCACTTTGAAGCTTCCTGAGACACGAAGCCCCTGGAGGGAGTAACCGGCTTTGCTGGAACCTCCCAACTCACCCCACCAATGCAGCGCCGTCAGCTCTCAGCCACGGCACCGGCCCTGCGCTCGCAGGACAAGCCCACGGCGGGAGGAGGCCCCAGCACTGTCTGCTCCCAGAGCAGGGACAGTGCCCACGGAGGTCCCCGCAGGTCACAAGCCGAGGCCACTCAGCCAGCTAGTGGCAGAGCCAGGCCTTTACCTGTGGGGCAGACCCCCCAGCCCCCGATCCCCGCAGGCAAGCAGCAGCAGCCTCAGGCCGGAGTCTCAGGAGCAGAGAGGGAGGGGAGCCAGGAGGCCCGGAGCTCAGCTCCACACTCCCTTCTCTGTGGCCCCATCACCCACGGGACAAACCCACACTCCCTAACACCCCAACCCAGCCTTCCCGGATGTGCCCAGGGCTCCCCAAGACTAGCCCCGCAGCTCACACCCTCCTCCATTCAGCGGACCCTCCAGACCCAGGTTCAAACCCCCAAGGTTCTGGGCCACCACGCGGGAGGGGCCGAGGCGCAGGCCATCACCAGGGTCAGTCCAGCACTGCAGTTGTCCAGAGCAGCCTGCGCAGTGTCCCCTCCTCCCACACCCGCCCGGCTCTCAGACCACCCGGCAGAAGTGTCCCCACTGGCTCGGGATGATGGAGTTAGCTCCCCAGACCAGAGGAGGAGCAGCCACTTAAGAGCAGAGAGCACGGTCCCCGCACCCTGGGGAGGCGGCGGGCAGGGACAGGGCCGCCCTGGCTGAAGCCATACATTCAGTTCCTGGAAAAAGAAGAGTGACAAAAAAGATTGAGCGCTGCCTCTCACCCACCACATCCTGTTTTTATGGAAAACTAATCTAATTCCTAACAGCAAAGTAAGCAGCAGATAGCGGCGGGGGTCCCCAGGGACCACGAGAGACAGGCCCCCGCAAGGCAGGAGCCAGCTCCACCCCCAGGGCCATGCCTCCATCCTAGCAGCTCCCTCCTCCCCAGGGAGGCCAGGATCGATGGACCCTTCCTGGCAGCGAGGAGTGGGCCAGCTCGCATCCACCTCCCCCAGTCTCAGCCAGCCCTTCCTGCCCCCAGAGGCCTCGGCCCATCAGCATAGGGGCAGCTGTCACCTCCGGGCTGCCACCCGTGGTGGCAGGTCACCGAGCGCCAGAGACACCCCCAGCGGTGAGGATGTGCCCCTGGGCCTGGCGGCTCTTGTGCCAGAGCAGCCTTGGACGGAGGCCTGGCCCTACTTCTGTGGCCGTGTGAGCTACCTGAGCCTCAGTTCCCTCGCCTCGAGGTGGGGACGCCAACCCCAGCTGCCTCAGAGGCTGTGGTCGGGAGCTTGCTGACGGCCCCCAGAGGCCCGGCCTGGGCCCACCCGAGGCCGAAGGCTGCCCTGGGAGATGCCGGCCACCTGCCTCAAGCCGGGGGCCCCGGGACTTCCCATCACTGTGCCCTGACCACAGACACCCTTGCAGGCTCTCCTGCTTCTAAGAGTCAGGGCTGAGCCTCCAGGAACCTGCAGGCTTGGGTCAACCTGGGGGAAGAGGCCGAAAGCGGCACTGGGCCGGCCCCCGCCCTGTCCCTCTGGGTCCCCACTACACGTGGACAGGCTGTGTGGTTCCCATGCCCCGTCCAGCTGCTGCAGTCGAGGGCAGGTGAGCCGGAGACGTGGGCCACTTGGTGCCCCAGGGTGTCCCTCCACCTCCAGGGTTCCTGAGGCCAGGGGTGCCCCCGCCCCTGTGCAGACATGTGCGCAGGCTGGGGTCCCTCCCACCTGCCCTGCAGGCCACACACACAATCCCACCCTCACACCCTTGGGCTGGATGGACTTCTGCGGGAGCCTGAGCAGGACCCTCAGGCACAAGCAGCCCCAGGACAGCCCGTCCCCTGTGCCCCCACAGGTCACGCTGCCCGCGGACTCCAGTTCCTATCCTTCCCAGCTGTGGGCGTGGAACCTGTTTAATCTCCTGGGAGCTGAGACCCTGCGCCGCTGCCTCCGGAGCCTGGGGCGGGACTCGGGGCGGGGGAGCACCAGAGACGTGTCCTGCCTGCCACGCTGGGAGAGCCCGGAGGGGCGCCCGCCACCCAGGACAGGGCTCCACGCACACCTGCCCGGCCAGCCGCTTCCCGCCTGGGCTGGGGACCGCCCTCCCACCAGCGGCCCAGGGAGTTGGCCGCACGGTGCGTCTGCTGCTGGCCCACGGGGACACCAGCAGCCGTGACTCAGCCAGACCCAGCAGGTCCCACTGCGCCCGCCTGAGCAAGCCTGAAGCCCCGTGTCCTCACCCCGCCACCCCTGCCTCACGGCAGCCGTCACCAAGCTGCTGGGATTCCCCGCAAGTGAGGCCACCCCCATGCCCGGAGGCTCCAGCCAGGGGCTCCTGGATGAAAGCGCTGGGTGGCACCCGCGTCCTGACGATGTGCCCGGGGGCGTGGGCGAGGCGGCCCTGGCCCGCCTAGCACTCACAAGGTACTACCGCCCCCCTCACCTGGCAGGTCGCCCCAAGGGCCATGAGGTCAGGCAGGGCAGGCGCTAATCTTGCTCACTAGAGATGGAGTTACTGGGGCACAGAGAGGCCCCACGAAGGAAGGGCGACGGCTGGGGCGGTGCAGGCTCCAGGCCCAGAGAGGCCGAGTCGCTCCCCGCAGGGCGCCCAGCAGCAGAGCCAGGCTTGGAGACTCGTCTGACAGGACAGGCTAGAGGCTGAAGCTCGGCCTGGGGCGCTTCCATCCCACCACTCTGTTCAAGGCCGCCTGCCGCTCCGGCCGAGGAGGGGGGCCCGCGTGGCCTCAAAGCGGCTGCCGGGCAAGCCGGAGCCTGAGTCCCAGCACAGCAGGGCCTCGGAGCCGCCCGCTGACAGTGTTCAGGACGGAGGTCCCAGAGCAACCCCAGCGGCCCTCACTGCCCACCCGGGCACAGGACAGGATCTGCAGGGGTGACACAGGGGTGACACTACCCAAACACCCGTCCACAACACCCCGACGTCCTGCGGCCACCCTGGCAGAAGGCTGGACTCCAAGCAAAGCCACTGCACGACCACCCCGCCAGTGGTGACAGTCCCACTGCCTTGGGGTCCAGCCCCTCGTGTCTCCACGGGCTGAGGTCACACACTTGCGGTCAGAACTGGAAGGAGGGACAGGAATCCTGGACCCTCTGCACAGGGGCCAGTGAAGAAACTGTGATGGGCCCAGAGTCTAGGAAAGCCGCCAGCAAGAGCTACCACCAAGAACACAGTGCAGCGAGGAAGCCAGCCTCAAGTTACAAGTAACCAGCGGACAGGCGCTGGGAGCCGAGTCCGCTGGCAGCCATGCTCACACCACGAGGTCCCGCCCGCAGACGGCCAGGCTTGTGAGGAGAGAGCCTGAGTCTGGCTGGCAGAGAGGCACAAGACAAGCGGCCTCCTTCCCCTCTGAGGGGCCACCCCTGCAGCTCCCGTCCATGTCCGTGGGTCACCCCGCAGAGGCACACCTGTCCCCACCCTGCCCCTTGACAGCACAGCCCTCCCCAGGGGCCACCTCATCCCACAGGTCCTCAGCATCCCGCTCCAGGCCGCCACCCCGAAGACACCAACTGGCTCCTGGAAGTGTGTCTCGGGTCTGGAACGTGATACAGCCTGTCCAGCCCCCAGACTTCCCGGAGCCTCCTCTGGAGACCCTAATCAGTCCTCCGACTGCCTCACACGCCCTCCGGCCCCTGAGGGTCAGCGGTCTCCTCCCAGCTGGGGCTCAATTCCGCGTGGGCCCCTGGCCCCTGCAAGTAACTCCTGGCTTCCAGCCCTTGGTCCCCCGCAGCCGCAAGGAGGAGGGGCAGACAGAGCAGGGCAGCAGGGCCCTCCCAGGGAACTGCGGGAGATGTGGTTTGCCCACCCGGTCCTGGGGGCCCGGGAGGTGATGGGGAGGGGCTGAGGAGGGGCTGCGGGGCCTCGCTCTAGGGAAAGCGGTGGACGTGTGGAGGGGCAGGCGGGAGGCGGGACACCCCACGGAGTGCAGACAGGCTCTCCCCGTGTGGCCTGGGACCTGCCCTTTCAGCACAGGCCTGGCCTTGCTCTGGGAGGGGAGGTCAGCGCCCCCCAGCTGGAGTGTCTCCACCTGCAACCCCAGGGACAGGAGGCCACTTGGAGGCCCCCAGATTCGGAGGGCCAGAGTCTGGCTAGGCAGTGGTGGACGGCCCAACAGGGCAGGAAGAGGGAGGAAGAGGGCCCAGTGGTTCTGGGCCCGGCGTCCCCTGGCTTCCTCTGCAAGGGACACAGGGACGCAGGACCCAGAGCCCACCGCCTGCCCTGTGTCTAGGACCCTGCTGAGCCCTTTGCTCCTGTGCTAATCTCGTTCTCACGAGGTCACGTCATCTGCCCGTTTGCCAGGAAGAGGGAACAGAGGCTGGAGAGGTCCCTGCCGAGGTCACAGAGCGCACAAATTGCACAGCCCGCTCCGGAGCAAAGCTGCCCGCCAAGGGGCCCCTCAGGCACCATTCCTGGGCCCACATGGGGACTGAGGCCACTGTCCCTGGGCCACGCACACCCCCTGCCCGTCCCTCCACCGCTCCTGACTTCTGGAGGTTAGGGCCCAGCGGGCCATCTCCCCCGGCTGGAGAGGTCTGCACCCCGGTAAGGTGTGGGATGCAGCCCAGCGGCAGGACAAGAGTGGTCAGCGGGCAGGGCTGAGAGCCGGTGGGGCCCCGAGCAGTCCCAGCCAGCTGGTTCCAGACTCTGCCTCTGTCCACTTCCCACCTGCAGCTCGCGGCGATGGCCAGCCCTGGCCCCGACGAGGCCACAACGACGCCGATGGGCAACAGCGCCGAGGGACAAAGAGGCGCCACTCCGACAGTGGGACAGTGCAGGGTGGAGCGCGCTCGCTCAGGACCGGGCGGGGGACAGGCTGGGAGCCTGGCTGCACAGGCCAGGGGAACAGGCTTGAGTCTGCCAAGCTGAGCCAGGTCCCGGAGGACAGAATAGGAAGGAGGCAATGCAGTGCTGACGTCCCGGAGGGGCAGGGCCCAAGGACCAGACGGCTCCTCTGTGGGAAGACCCCCAGCGGGGCACACAGGGCACCATGCCCGGGCCGGCGTGCACCTGACAGCCCGGACTGTGCTGTCCTCGGAGTTCATCTGAAGGGAACAGTTGGAGGGAAAACAGGCCATGCACATAGATGGTCGCTGCGCCCCCGAGAACAAGAGGGAGGGGGGCCCGGAGGCTGAAAGGAGCCTGCTTCATCCGACAGGAGGCCCAGGGAGGCCACACTGAGGGCAGAGTGACAGCCCCAGCTGCAGCGACCCAGGACAAGAGCCTGCAGATGGCAGGACGGGGGCCTAGAGGCCCGAGAGCAGGCGGAGGGATGGGCAGGCAGCAGGGGAGGGGGTGGGTAGCAGGCAGAGGCAGGAGAGCCCAGCCCAGCCCAAGAGGAGCGGCCCACCCGTCAGGAAACACAGCGGGAGGCCCCAAGGGCCAGGCACCCAGGGCGAGGCAGGCGCGGGGAGGGCGTCCCCGCAGGAAGCTAACTCACTAAGAGAGCGTATCCCAATTCACGGGACTTCAAATTAAAAACACCTGCTCTTAAAAGGACGCCAAAAAGACGGCCAGGCTCCGTAAGCCACAGGCAGGGAAAGCGCCCACAGGACAAAAGGCTGACAAAGAGGTTCAAAGCCGGCGTCCACAAGGAAGGGGCAACCCGACCTTCCTGGCTGTGTGAGAGACTCTCAGACACAGACACAGAAGAGACACCCCGGGCGATCAACACCATCCAGCATCAGGGTGACGCAGACTGAAGCCTCAGGAGACACCACTTCACACCCACGAACCAGCCAAAGTCAGAGGCACGCCACGTGCGGCCGGCGAGGGTGTGGCGCCTGGAACCTCCCCACGCAGGAGCAGGAATGACAGCCAGAAGGACAGACAGCAGTTCCTCGAGGTGAACGCGTGCAACCCCACGCCAGGAAGTGAATGAAATCCCAGTGTGCGCCCGGGGGCAGCAGGCACCCAGCCGCCGGGCACGCACTTGCCAGCAAGGACGGGAGAACAGGTCAGCAGATGCGACACCAAAACTGAGGAAGCACTGCCACACACGGTCACATGCGACTCACAGGACCTCGGTGCGGAGCGAAGGCAGCCAACACAGATGCACACGGCCTGGCAGTTCCTCAAACAGGGACCCCCAGGTGCTGGCAGAACCGACCTGGGGACAGAAGTCAGAGCTGTGGGGGTGACCAGCAGGCACAGAAGCATTCTCCATCTCGTTTGGGGAGCTGGTACGTGGCGGTGCTCAACTCTCAACCCACCAGGCAGGAGACTTAAGGTCTGGGCCCTTCACTGCTTGCTCCTGACATCTCAGTGTGGACTAAGGACCGTCCTCCTCTGGGGGTCCAGTCGGGACCCCGAACCCTAAGGCAGGGCCTGGCTCAGGCAGGTTCTCTGCACATCTGCCAAGCGAGTGACTGACAGAAGGTGGCAGAATGACCGAGTGTGCCGGAGGGAGGAGGGGGCAGCAACAGCAGGTGGTGGCAGGGGGCGGCCAGCAGGTTCCGGGGCGAGGGCAAGCTCGGGGTGTTGGGAGACCAGAAAGAAGCTGGAGGTGTGGGGGGCAAGAGGCACAGCCGGAGGAAGAACTGCAGGTCCCCTGAACGCTGATGCGTGGAAAGCATGGGGCCGGTGCTCCCGGGTGGCAGGAGTGTCAAGGGCAAGAACCCTGGCTCCAGGGGCCAGCAGATCTGCCGCCGATGGGCACTGTCCCCGTAACGCCACCCTAAGCCCCTGTGCGCTCATCCACGAAACGGCGCCACACCTGCTCACCTCTTAGGACTAAACGTGCAGAAAACAGGAAAGTCAGGGGAGACTAGAAAACCAGGGGCCCCGGGCCAGGCAGAGGCAGCAGACTGTGCGTGGTGGGAAGTGGGCAGCTCTTGGGTGTCCCTGGAAAGCCACTCAGTCATGGACACACCTAGACCCAGGGCCAGAAGCCTGGGCCAGGAGGGCAAGGCGGTCCCGAGTCTGCCCGTGGACATGGATGGAGGCTGCAGAGGAGGTGGGATGACGAGTGGACACTGAGTCGGGAAAGCAACGCAGGTGTGCCCACGTGACCCATCCGCTGGAGGAGGCGGTCAGGGCCGCCGCCCACACGGGCACGCGGGGACCGAGGCCTTGTGCTCCAGGGGGCTGGGGAGCTGAGGCCCTGCGACCTCGTACTCAGAGAGGCAGCTTGTCAACCACACCCAGACACGAGGCGAGCCTGCTGGGAGGCGCTCACCCGGGGGCCTGGGCAGCGTGGGCGGCCTGCTCTCGGGTGAATCAGCACCCGCCCCCACCCCGGGGGAGGAGGCAGAGACACACAGCACCAAGCCTGCTCGGAGCTCTGGGAGGCCGCGTCCTGTGGTCACTACCATCCCGGCCGTCCGCGAGGGGAGAGGAGGGGGAAGCCGCTGCGGCGGCGGCTGCATTTCCTTTTAAAAAGCTCCCTTTAGTGCTGTTAGGACGATGCGTTGTTTTAAATGGTGTTTTAACCATAAACAAAAATCAAGTAATTGAGGGGGGGAGGGGGGAGGCTGGAGGTTCTGGGCCCCTCCCTGGGGCCCCTGCCCAGGAGGCCCCTCTGGCCTGACCACAGTCACCACCTTTGGCTGCTCCCACAGGCCCAAGCCATCTGTACACGTAGCGATTCTGTTCTTCTGTGTTCCCCCAGAGGGGGACGGCCACTAAGGGGCAGGGGAGGCAAGGATAGCCAGGGAGGGATGGGCCTCCCCCAGCCTCAGCTCTGGGGCTGGGACAGCTCCCCACCACGTGCTCAGGTCACAGACCCGGATGCACGCAGAGTCCCGAGCCCCCACCTGCTGTCAGGACAGAGGCAGGGCCCCTGGCAGAGCTGGCGGGCGCTTGGGCCCGTTTCAGCCGCCCGTTCACTGGGAAAGGAAACCACAAGAGGCAGCCGAGGTGGCCACGGTCCCTCTTTGTCCTGGGGCAGAAGCAGAGGCCCGGCTATATTTACTTACAGAGAAAAACAGTGCAGGTCGGAGCCTGGTAAACAGCTGGCCCCGTTACAGGGAACCAAAAATACTCCCTATAATTATGGTGTTAAAACACACCAGAGAAGTCGACCCGCCCGCTCAGCAACAGCCCCGCGATGGCGCAGAGACTGGGGAGGCCAAGCACGCTGGCCCGAGGGTGCCCTGGAGTCACCGGGCGGCTGCCCGTCACACCCCCTCAGGACCACCGAGGCCTGGTCCCAGACTCACCGCCAGCCCAGGAGGCTCCTGATCCCAGCTCACCCCTGGAAACACGCTCCTCTGTGAGCAGGCAGGGGGAGCGCTGCTGTGGCCCCCAGGACCTAGAGTCACCTCACCCCACGCGCAGGGACCACAGCAGCGTTGGGCCCCCGGCCACTGACCAAGGCTTTCTCCTGAGAACGGGGAGAAAGGGGTGAAAAAGGATCTTAATCTTCTCTGGCATTTCACTGCTGCATGACAAGTATTCATACATCACTCGTGTAATTAAATCTAAATTAAAAACATCAAAGCAGATGGAGGGGATTGAGCCGCAGCCCTCCCCAGCCCTGCTCCTGCCGCGCCCTCCCCATCCCACCCCACCCAGACCCTCGACTGGCCACCACCAGGGCATCAGAGCCCCCCACTCCCCAGACCACCTGTTCGCTTCATTCCACAAAGGGCCCGACCTGGGGGCGCTGCACCTGTCTGGTGCCTTGAATCTGCCATCCTGCCCCCTCCCCAGCCTGGCTGACCGCCTCTCTCCCTCCAGCAGACGGGTCTCCCCAGGCCTGTCCAGCCCCGTGCTCGGGTGGGCTCTTGTTCTGCGTGGTGTTGCTGGGGGCACACCGCTGGGTACAGGTCACCAGCTGCCCTGTTTCCTTCCATCCGTGCTTAGCAAAGTGTGAACAAACGCGGCAAAGACACCTACAGAAACAAGGCACCGGGAGCTGGGGGGACCCAGACCTGCCTTCACAGCAAGGAGCCCTCAGCCTGGTGAGAAAGGAGAACTGGCCCGGCCCCTCCCACGCCCGCCACCACTGGCCCTGAACCAGAACCTAGGCTCCTGTCCAGAGCTCTGTCCCGTGAGACCTGGGTGAGAGAACGCTTGAATGAACTGGGAGGACTGGGAGAGGTCCCACGTGAGCCCAGGAATCCGTGCAGGCGGGCGTCACACTCGGGGGCTGGGGGCCGGCTGCTGGCTGCCGGCTGCCGGCTGCAGACACCTCGGGCCCTGCACACCACGCCTCCCCCTCCTGGGAGCTGCCTGAGGCTGGCTGGGCTGACCTGCGTGCGGGGACCCTGGTGGTGGGCCGCCTTCCACTCCGGCCCCCAGAGGCCCAGCCGGGCTGCTGGCCACCGGCACTGAGGCTGGGCCGGCACATCTGGGAAAGCGCTCCGGGGCTCTGGGCCCTCCAGGACGGTGAGTGGGAGGGCTGCCCTGCCCCTACTCCAGTCCAGAGGCAGAGATCAGAGACCTGGGATCAGCCTTGAAGCTTTTATTGTCTCATTTACAGGCAAGGAAACTGAGGCGCAGAGAGAGGGGTGAGGGCCTGGCCAGTTCAGCGCAGGGCAGAGGCTGCTGCCACCCACAGACCCCTCCAGCAAAGCCAGCCTCCCCCCTCTGCTCCCTGAGACCTTCCACCCAGGCCCTCCCACAGGTAACACCCCGCCCACAGAAGGGGTGGGACTCACCTGCCCAGGGAAGGAACAGATTTCATCCCCAGATTCATTTCCTGCCTGTGTGTTCTTGGGGGAGTGGATGAACTCCCCCAGGAAACAGGCTTAACTCAACTCAGAGGGGTTCAAAGGTCAAGAGTGGGACGGAGCTCAGCCCAGAGCACCTGCAACCTCTCC